GTGGGAGGAATTCACTAGCTGTGAGTGGAAGAAAGAGAATCTAGCAGAATGCTAGGGGCACGAGCCCATAATTTGCTGTTTATCCATCAACCACCCAGGGGAGGGATGAAAAATGAGAGATTAAAAGAATAGAGAGATGTGCGTCGAGAGAAAAACTGAGAAAAGGGCTTTTTCAGAAAAAAAAACAAAGCTTGAGGGCCGAGCGATGTGAGAATCACAAATGAGAAAGGGTGGGAAACACTACCCGGTGAAACAGGCTCCCTGTGCACGTCTGAATGTCGTGTCTTTTTGTTTTATCTCGATTCTTGTTTTGAGTCGTTTCGAGTGTTACTCAATGTGTCTAGGTAGTGTGCCTTTTATTTCCGTTGTTGAGTCGTAGTGCGTTGTGTTCAGTTGTAGGCTCAATACCTGGTCGAGAACTCATTTATCAATAATAAAATAAAATCGTTTTGTGCTCCGAGTGCCATGCCATTCTCCACATTTGTACAAAACAGAGTTTGTTCTTTCATAAAACCGTAGGGTTCAACCCAGGTCATGCAAGAACAGTAAAACAAGGACCTATTTGAAGCTATATGGGTTCCAAACTACAAAGCAAAAGAAAAGAGGGAAAATCGAAGCATCTGAGTGTGTTTCACCTTCTTCAAACTTCGTGATTGTGCTCCGGATGTACCTCTTCAGGCCTTGCCAGTGCCCTGAAGAATGAGCGGGCCTCTACTCCAAGCTTAAGCATGCTTCAAGCCAGAACGGCAATTAAAGCAGCAGCAGCAGATGTTACCTCTCGCCAATATGAACAGGGTGCGCCCCTTTGAGCTAAGTGTGTTGCAAAGTCCTCTAAGAGGTAAATCAGAGGCACCAGAGTACATATTTGATGCTCCTCTACTACATAGAATGTGCACTTTCATATACACTTCTGTGACATGCGTGCCGCGCATCATTATGATTCATGCATAGAATATGCTTGCTTTCGATTCTGCATAGAATTTGCTTTCAATATTGCATAGAATATGCTCCTATTTCTTGCATAGAAAATGCTCGTATTTTTTGCATAGAAAATGTACTCTTCCATACTTGCATAGAAAATACACCTCATTTGCATAGAACATGCATTAACTCGCACTATCTTGTGCA